CCTGCTTTCTTATGGAATTGTTCTGTTCTGGGACCTCCTACATTATTATTAATATAAAAATCATCTGGTTTCCCTCTTGAAGTTCTGTTTTGAAAGCAGAGAGTCAGCCCCGCCCGTTCATTATAAACACTCATCAAAACTACTTATCAAAGCCACCTAGTTCAAGTTCGACTGAAACCACACATGAAGTATTTCCCAGTGGCAACTTGCACCAAGAAAATAAAACCAAAATATATCACTTTATTACACATGACTTCTAGTAATTGTATAGTCTTCAAAAAGTGGATTAGCTTACAATTTTAAGACTTTCACAAACACACACAATGAAATCCAGTCATTCACAGAGTAAATGTAGTGGAAAGATGAAATTCTCCAATGTTCGAAATAAAAGGAGGAAAAGCACTTGCAAACAGAGAAGTGAAGATGTTAGCCTGTACGTTCAAGTCCTGCAAAACCACCTAAAAAGGTTCTTTAACTGGCCAGAACGGCAGAATCTTAGTTTAAAGTATTAAAATCACAAAGCTAAAACTGAGATATTAGCCAGGCTTTAGAGATCTCAAAATACTTTGTATTTTTCCATCTTAAAATGTGCACTGAAACTGAAAAAAAAGAGGCAGATAAAGCAAAATTTCTTTACCTGTCATAACAAATCAATTTTTCCTATTTTTCCTGTTAACATTTACGGCTGAAAAAAAGCAGGACAAAAACATTCTGTATGTGTATGCGCCTTCACTTATTTTAGTTTTCTTTGTGAAATACTTTACTAGAAATATTCCACGGTACTTAAGAGACCTCATAATTAAGGAACACCAAGCAGAGTTAATTCTCCATCCACCGGGTTCAGCCCAGAGTGAAGCAAATGGCTTATGAGCTAACCAGCCAGGTTCAAGCACCGAAGCCTTGTCTATTATGGAGCAAAAGGGGAAATCAATAGAAGCTTTAGCCACGTAGACCTGAAACAGCCTGTGCCACAAATTCAGCTAGAAGAGTGATGGTGTCATCGCATTGTTATGGCTTCATCTTCTCTGCACAGGAAGACACAAAAGGCTATTCTGGAATCCATGTCAATAAGCACATCTTTCGGCCCTGAGCAGAAGTAATGAAGCTTCATGTCCTACCAAGACAAGTTCCTAAAGCTAAACTCTCCAAAACGAATTCAGCTCCCACTGACCTCTCCTGACCTGGGACAGTCATAACCTGCTTCCCCTACAGGAATGCGCAGAGGTCTCGTAAGACACAAACCCGCACCGAACCTTTCCCTGACGTCCATCCATACTGCTCCATGTGTCGACTCATTCCTCTGTTTCTGTGACATTTATGAAAACTGAGCATCTTTGAAAAGTCTCAGCTTGAGCTGGAATTACCAGAAGTTTGTTTCTTTTCTTTGTTTTGGGGGGAATATTGATTACATGAAAGGACATCACATTTGTGACATGGCATCCTAACTTCACTCCAAAAAAAAAACCAACCGCCAACCCACAGATAATAACTCTCTCTTTGTAATTCCAAATGCAAACAAGTTTTCTCAGGGGCAATTAAGCCTATTAGCAAAAAAGCCAGAGTTGACCTAGATACAGCAATCATACATCATTTCTCATATAAAAGGATGCCACATTTATAGCTTTGTATTTACAGCACAACATTTAAAGTAAACAGTTTTCGTTCTTCTTCACTGTTTACTTCACACTGAACAACATTTACTATTTCTTCCACCTCCTTAGGAATATTACACATTGTTCTTTAATTCAAATAACACATTTTTCATCATTCTGATGTAGCAAATTGCCAAATTCTTCTAGAGTAAATATTTCAGTAAAACAAAGCCTGATCCGGGATCTCGGGAACTCACTGCAGTAAATTCTCTCTGCACAGATGAGTGAAAAATTTTGTCCAAAATATGACATCTCAAAAAAAATTATAAATAAATGTAGAGTCAAATTTTCACAGTTTTGGTAGTTATTTTTTAAAAGCTATCCTTAATAATTCAGAAATTGTTTTTGAACTGGGCTGACCTGTTTTCAGAATGGCTGACATCCAAAAATTCCAATCTGTCAAATCATGCCAATTAGTTCTGGTCCTCTACATAAGTAAGAATACTAATAATTAGAGGCGTTTCTTCAGGGACTAATTGCAACACACAAACCTCCCTATCTTGATTCACACTGACCATTTTCTTCAGTAGACTTCAATACATTACTATCAAAATAAGCTTACAAGCTTAAAGCTAGGACTACAACCACATACACAGAGAATAATTTTATTAATGTCAGGCAGAATATTGGAGAGAAGGAGGAAACAAGTTAAAAAAAAACAAAACAAAAAGCTCAGGAATTCTTTACTCGAAAAGGAGAACACAAGTAAGGATAAAATTAAATTTGTACTCATTGGTGAACAGTAGAATAATTTTTGACTCTCCTCTATTTTCCCTTCTCTGTTTCTGCTTGGTACTATTTACCTCATGTAATTACTTCACATCGCATACAAATGTGTAATATTGGTTTGGTGCGACTATACAGTTCGTATCTGTAATTATCAGGCCAAAATTAGAAGCTTGCACATATGACAAAAAATGATTTCAAAGAAAGCTTCCGTGTTACACCTAAAAAAAAAATAATGATCATTTTGCCCTTAAATGTAAGCCTTCTGGAAAAATGTTTTATTGACAAATTAACTAGACCTACCTTGTATACTCTTCTTGGAGCTTGTTTGGATCACTTACAAAAAACTTAACTCTGAAGTTCAAACTGTGAGGAGATCCTCCTACAGTAAAGAGAAGTTATTTCTTATTAATCAGAGTACCCTGGAAAAACAGGATAATAGCAATAAATAAATTGACCAAATACATACATGTACTCACTTTTTAATTGTTTCCTGATAGGTTTGTTTGGATCCAGCCACCTCTGAAAAGACAAATTATAACACTAACTTTAGAGAAACTAAAAAGTGCAAATTACAGTCTTAAAAACATAAAAGACACCGTTGCTTTTCTACTATTTTTACTTGTTCTTTTACCAAAACGTCTTACTGGTACACAGAGTCTTGTTACTAATTCTCAAAAACCACCAACGTTATAATCAGCAGTAGCCGTTGTTCCTTCCCTGAGATTAACCTCTGTTGTCCAAATATCTGGCTCTCACAACAGTAATTTGACTGCTACTCGGTTCAACGATCGTCACATGAGCCTGAGAGAGGTTAGAACTCAATTACAGTGTTTAACAATCTTCAGCTACTCTTAAACTCATTATCTCAGGTGAACTAACTCTGGCACTGAAGAGTTATAAGCAGGCTAATTTACCCAGCTCAGAAGCTAATTTGCTTAAACCAGTTCCAGTACTTTTGACTCTGTATTTTGCAGCTCTGACACACCCAGAGAGTGATCCCACTACCTCACAGATTCTCTTCAAATTTTCAGCATGAGTATAATCTCTGCTAAATCACTCATTGTGACTGGAAACCAGAGGCTAAAGCTCTCAGACCACTGGATTAAGGACTACAGGGCAATTTTACCAAACAGCACCCAATCCTACTCATCTTCACGGGAGAATGCTGCTGTGGGGAAGCACACACAGATCTTTACAGAAGTCAGTACTGCAAATTTCAGATATAAGTACAGTTCTCTGGAACACCCTACACATTGCACAAATCACTCCCCAGCAGCAATCCATCAGACTCCACATATACCAATGCAGTGCAGTTAACTCCTAAGTCTTTGTTATAAATCCTGTTTGATTTCTCAACCTGCTTTGCAATGCAACTTGCAAGCCTCAGGAAACTGCTGTATGGCCACAGGTTCTATGAAGTGACAGACTTAACCCTGTACAGCATGTAACTACCTTTCTTTTTTTTTATGGGAGGGAGGAGGAAGCAAACACACAGAGCTACCTGACACACACTATGGATCTGAAGCTAGTTCTGAGTCATTTTATTCCTTGGAAATAACAAATAATTACTACATTCAAATGCTATATCCTTGTACTAGATGATTTAAGATGAACAAAAGAGATTGTTTGATATAGCTTAAAGAGTGTAATTAGGTCAAAAAAAACACCTCACACAGGATCAATTAACTTTTAAGATTAAATGTAAAGGCTTAAGGAAGGACTCTCTAGCCAAGGATAAACATGTATTTTATTATAACAGTCTTTCGAAACATGGTGAAACATACCTCAGTTTCTTTAAGCAAGGGGTTATGATCCAATGTATCTGATAAATGCACAGATCTGACTGATAATCCTTAAATGTGTGTGTGTGTGTGTGTGTGTGTGTGTGTGTGTGTGTGTACACCACTGTTTGAGATTACAGTCAATCCAGAACACCTGGAATGGAAATGCCTAGTAGAAAATCTTGCATTTACACTTCCTTCTGGTTGTAAACATCCATTTGCTATGTACAAGCACAGCTCAAACTACGGAATAGTAAGGGGGTTTTGGAACCATAATCATAATCATGGTAACATTTCTATTTAGCTCTGACACATTGTCTTCATGGCAACTAGATCTGTGCTGAAAAGCCAAAATATTTACAAGCAATATCCATGCTTTCAATTGATAACATAGGATTCAAATATAAGAAGGTCATTTTTATCTCTGGGAAACTGCAGAGGGTTAAACTACTTAATAGCGTAAAGAAGCTTAAGTTGACAGGACTTGGGCAACATACCAGAACTTTATGAGCCAAGGTGCTGCTAGCAAGACGTGCTATCTCATGTACCTCCCAGTAAGCCTGAGAGGCAGGTAGGTGAGGGGATCCATAAAGTTTGTAGCTCAGTCCTTTGGAGAGTCACCTCAGTACCGTCTCCTCCCGCAGCAATGACCCCTTACTTGCTCCCTCCACAGTGATGCTCTCGTTATGCACCAACACCCCCTTCTCAGCATCGCTCCGGGCACCCACAGCCCCTGGCCCCTGCCAAACACATCGCACCAGCTGTACACAGCATCAGGGCCTTCTTGCACCGACTTGTACTTTTTCACTAATATACAAAAACATAAAGCTTGTGCAGTTTACAAAATCCTCGTTTAGGCACAATACGGGTTTCACACTCGATTAGCTGAATCCCCTTTCCCCATCACCTTTACGTCCTGCTGTACTGACTGTATCTTAGCAATGCTCCACTGTGTTATTTCACAACTAATAGGAACATCTGTGAGTCCAACTTGGGTCCCTTGTCCAAATGAACCACGTGTAAAAGTAAACTGATCTCAAAAACTGAAAACAGTTAAACCCATAAACTCTTTAAGCTTACATGACTAATATTGGTAACATTTCTATTTAGCTCTGACACATTGTCTTCATGGCAACTAGATCTGTGCTGAAAAGCCAAAATATTTAGAAGTCAATAAATACTAAACCTTTAAAGCATGTGCTTATATCAAAGAGCCGTGAAGTCATTCTTCTGCCAGACTAACTCTTAACCACATCCATTACTGTGCTGGGTTCAACTGCCCCCAGACAGATAAAGTAAAAAAAGAGAGCTTTGAGGTCTAAGCTTTGGAGAGTCAGATAAATGAGAACGAGAAACACTACAAACTTCTGAACTTTGAGCGAAACATTGATATTACTTAAACAAAGTTGAAAAATAATTCAGCCTTTTCTACAGCATGCCTACGTCTTTCCAGCCTGAAAAGAAAGTTTAGAATAAAAAGAATAAATGCGGCCAGCCTGCCAATGTCTTAACAGAACTAACCATGAACTTACAAAAGAGAACTTCGTTAAATGTCTACACAGCTTTATTCATATCAACAATCTTAGCTACCAGAATTTAAAATAAGAATATAATTAAGAATAATTTGCTCTAGAGAAGAAAGAAACGTGGAAGTAGTTCACTATTGAAGCAGAATAAAATCATGGCTGTATTGTGACTTCTTTCTCCCGCTTCTACATTAATAAAGGCATTAAAAATAAGTAAAAAGAAAAAAAAATCTTTTAGTAATAGAAAAGAAGTATTCCTTCTATTTTGAGCAGTTGCTCTTCATAAAACAAAGTAAACGAAATCTGCACTTATCAAAGAAAGCTGCACTGTCTACTGAGTCATTAACGCTTTACAGTTTCACTTATCTCTGCAGATCACATTCTGCACATTTTGTGAATAAAAATGACTTTTGACACACATAAGTTGGGAGATAAATTTAGACCCCATTACTGTAATATACATATAATGGGAACTAGGTAAAGAACTGTATTATAAGAAATAACACTTAGTTAAATTGCACTTTAAAACAAGTATTGAACATTTGATATCCATAAAAGAGAGTACACAACAAGTATTCTTCAAGCAATCAGGATTGAGCAGTACAGCTGTAAACTCTACAAGCAAAACCCTTTTAAGGTCTTATTTCATAAGTACGCATCTCAGCATTTTACTCCAAACTTGTAACTATTAAATTTAGTTTTATAACTACAAAGTGTTATCGCTCAAACAGCACAGTTGGAGAAGATGGTGCAACACTGCAATGGGTTATATTTGCTTCTCTTTACAATGACAGAGCATAGCAATGAACATGATTGAGTTATAAAACCGTATTTATAAAAGACTCAACTTACAGGGTTATCAGTAGATTCATCAGCCAACTGTAAACCAAAGTAATCTCTCTCTGTCAAATCAAGATGCTTGAAGACTACGTCCAACAGAACTTGTCCCTGATTATGTTTCTGCAGAGAAAAATAGATACTTTTTTTCAGTGAACAAATACATAATTGAACACACAGACTTCAGGCAACCAGAGTGCACACACATTCTTTCAGATGTGCTCTACAAGCCTAAATTTTAAAAATCACTAAGTGTATCCTAGGAGCACTATTTTTAAATGAGCTTCATGCCTCTCTTTGAAATGTGTAAGGAATTATTATTTTTCCTTTTTGTCATTTTCTGACAGTAAGAACTCCTCACTCCTCAACTAGCTAAATCATTATTCCCGAAAGCCATTCATTAGCCAGATTTGATATTTTTAAAGGGAGTACTAAAAAAACAAAAAGAAAAGGAAAAAAGACTAGCATTTGACAAAGAAATTTGCAGCCTTGTTTGGGGTCAATGAATTTAAAAGTACAGGTCTATACAAGTTATTCTTACTATCTTATCTGAAAACCTACTCCCGAATGTAGATGAACCAGCATACTGAAAATATTTCCAAAGTTAAATGGCACAGACACCTGAAGGAGCCCAGTATTTTAACAGAGAATTGTCATTTAAGTGTGTTCTCTCAAATATGCGACTTGACTCTAAATGAACTTCTACAAAAGAACTGAATAACAGTAACATTGCTTTTCAGAAGTAAGTGACCAGATTTGATTTCTACTACAGGGACAAATCTTACCCTCAAAATGCTATTAAAAGAATCTGCAGTTGTTGGTACCTAGTAAATATTTGTCTGACCGGAAAACACTGCCAACACAAACTCAAATGCCGAGTGTGTCATTATGACAGGAGTCAATAAATACATTTGGTGAAATTTGAAGGGAGTTTCCCAAAGAAGTGTCATAACTTCTTGAAGTACAAAAGAGGAGAAAAAATTCTGCAAAAACAACTGTCAAATAAAATAAATACGAAAGAGATGATTGATACACCTTCTACCCATATTTTCTACCTCTCTGGCACCAAGCAAGCTTCTAATAATCTTCTAGGTGGCAAGTATTATACATGCTAAGGTGGATTTGATACATTTTGCCTCGTTCACTGGAGTTTTTAAACTTTTCTTAAAAAATGCCATTCTGCTCACTTTTTATAAAGACTGTATAACAGTTTATTTTGCAGCTGTTAAAATGTGTGTTACTAAAAGGTCAAAATAAGTTTGCAAGAATTTCATTAATATCCACATGCAAGAAAAATCTACAAATCACATTCAGACATTTGTTAACATCTAAGAGCATCCTAGCAAAACTCTTTTTTTTGTTCAGCTGAAATTACACTTGAATAAACTGTCAAAACCAGTTATCGGGGGCTAAAAACTTCACAAAGCTTCGTAATAATAAAAAAATTACAAAATAGTTATCAACAAACTATGCTTGAAATGATCCCAGCAGGACAACCATAAGCATAGCTCTGTGCATTTAAGCTGAAACTCCGTAAGACATATATTTCAGGTCCTATATATATTTGGGTAAGTTAAATTGATCTAAGAATTGCTGTATTTACTTTGAATGATGTTATTTAAAAAGAAAAAATCATACAGAGAAAATTTCTTGATGTTTAACAAAATGAACAGCCAGGAGTACCATTGTTAAACAGTTCATTTCTGAAAATTTTACTCTCCGATAACTAAAAACAAGTAAAGAAGAAAAAAACAACAGACGTTAACATAATAAATACACAACAGTATAAATGCATAGGGTAATTTTTATACACAATCCAAAAATAGCCACTTTCATTTTTACTAAATTAGGAGTTTCTGATATATTTTGAAATAAAATAGCAATCAGTACAATTTTTTCAGCAAATAAAACTAATTTTAAAATTACATACCAACACTAATTGCTTCTTGGCATCTTTCCCTGTGTAAATTTAAATCAGAACTCAAACTAAGAACTTCTGACAGTAACTATCAGAAAATGGGAGCCGATCTGAACTCAAGTTAAGGGTTACATTTACCACAGCTGGCACTCTTCAAATCACATGCAGGTATCGGTTCTGTAGGGTTTTTTCCAATCTAAAACTGAGAATTTACACTGTTCCTTAAATATGTGAACAGACATTTCCTAACAAAAAAGCTTCACACATTTCGAACAAAGAACGTCATTTCAGGACCTGAAGGAAGGTATTTCTCCTGCAACAGAGTAGCAAATTTGGTAAGAGAAGACTAGTTTCAACATGAAGCATTTGTTTTGATCACAAGGTTTTACTCTCAGTGCAAAATAAAGATAAGCATCTAGTAAAACTAGACCTCAGTTTAACCCAGCTCTGACATTTATATAATGATGCTGTAGCTTGCCAGAGCAGGTAAAAGTCATAATCCTGCTTGTCGTAAAAGGTCTAAAATATTCGTAATACTACCATAACCACAGAATAGCTGCTACAAATTACAAAAGGCATAAAATCAAGTTTCTACTTCTGCTTTTTTTAAAAAAATAAATAAAAAAGCAAAACCAGGAGGTTGGATTAGATGATCTCTAAGGTCCCTTCCAAATCTAAGCCATTCTATGAGTCAATAAAAGTGGATTAGCAGAAAAAGAAATTTTCTTTATTCCTCTAGATCAATTAAAATATTAACATCTCTTCTTAAAACAGGGAATAATGGGAAAAGACATGAAAAACGGGAAATATCTCACATAAAACTGTAGTTAGATATAAAACGTATCAACATTTTTTCTTAATTGGAATATTAGAATGTTATGTGTATTTATCAATCACTGCTCGAAGAAGAAAATCTTTCAGAAGAAATCCGGCATCTACACTAGAGATCAAATATATTTAACTGCACTTTACGAAGCATCTATCAGCTAGCAGCTAGTACCACTAGATATACAGACGTTCATTTCTAATCACAAAAAAATTAGCTGTTTGCAAACATCCATGTTTGAAAATTTAGGAAAACATCTGCAATTACACTGGTCTAAAGCCTGCTTACCAACTACAACCATCTTCCGCAGTTTATATTCCTGATGCTCTGGGTTTGCCACTGGTCACGTCTACAGCAAACACCAGGAGATATTGCTGCCGTGTCAGCCCGAACAAATTTGGAATTCTGATGACAGAGGAATGGGATGACAGGTCCTGGGCTTTCGTGGAGGGGTTGGAGGGCTCTGCTGCTTACAGGTCTGCAGGAGGCTCTGCTGCTCCGCCACTGACGACAGCCCTGGTGCGTCTCCTCTCACAGTTCACCCCAATACTTGTGTTGCGACTCCCCAAAGAGCCAGCACTGCACTACTGTCTCCTTGCATTCTGCAGCTTACATCAGGTTTGCAATAAGTTAGTAGCTTAGTTTTAAAAAAGTTTCCAAACAGGCTGTTATTTTTCTTGGCTAAATGAAAAAACGAAGCAACTAAGTAATGCTAGAAATTAAATTACTGAAAATTTTCAGTTCTGAAATGACAGAGGTACTGGTGTATTTTGTTTGCTTTTTTTTTCCTTTCGTTCAAGTTATTTTACAGATTTCCAGATTTTACTTCCATTAAATTGTAAATTCATTAAGTTTGAAGAGAATTCTGAGATAATAAAGGCTCTAAACTGAAGCATTTGTTCATTACTTCTAACCCAGTAGCCTTGCTCAAGGAACAACTAATGCCATCTACCTTGACTCAGTTTTCCCTCAAGTTTAGTATGATCTCTGTATCTATGTACTGGCTTTCAGGGAATGAAATTAAGCTAGCCTGCACAGAAAAGATACAATTTGAGGTATTTAAACAATTAAAACCAATCAAAGCAATTTGAAGAAGCAGGTTTACAGTAATGCAAATCACATTATTAGCTCAAGCCAGTCTCGCTTCTTCCAGCTATACATTCCACAGAGCACACCTGTCATGGTCAAAGTAGATCTTAATTTGGTAAGCAGAGCATTTTACAGGAAGGATTTCTACTCTCCAAACAGATGCACAGGTTAACTCCAACTGATTCTCCTGCCTACAAGCAAAATAACCTTTGCCTGGCTACGATCAACAGGGATTGCCTGATTTGACTTGTTACACTCTATAAAACGTAAAGCTTAGCACAAAGAATGCGTATTTTGCAGATCAACGGAAACGGCTCGTTGAAATGTGAACCTAGAATATGCCACATAAATTATCAAGAGACACTGTCTGTGATCGGTACTTCGTTGCTGGAGAACAAATAGCATTTGAGCATATTTTTATTAATACAGCACTCATACTCCAGATGATTAAGATTTACAGTCATTAGCATACCGAATACCGATAGCAATTACCAGGAGATAAAGCCTTGCTAATTTATATGATGTTATCTTTGTTCTTCCTATTTTGAAAACAATTCCATACATATTTATTGCCAAGTACTGTGTCAACCATAATAAAGTAAAACACAGCTATAAACCCTGAAAATCTGTATACCATGTAAGTTAACGTTTGCTATGACTGAATACTCTTAGTAATCCCTGTTCTTGAAAAACAGATTGAGGCTAAGACCTGAGATCAAAATGTTCAGTGCCAATGAACTTCTCTAAACCCAGTTTTAATAGACAAACTTGCAGGTTGACGTGTATAACCAGTAAAGTGTGGTCCATGCAACTAAAATATTTAGTACAGTAGGGAGTTGGCAAGAGTGTATTATGTATTTTTTTCCTGGGAGAGACCAAATAGATGTTTGAGGATTTATAACCTGTGATTCTACTCTAGACAGGCACTAGCGTTCTCTAAAAACAGAGCTTTTGAACAACCTACATCAAAAAGAAGCATAATCTCCCATACCTATTGCACAGCAATTATTTCTTATTTTAGCCAACTCTTACAAACAAAGAAAAAACTGCAAGATAGATATTTCAATGGAAAACTCATGCACCTTAAAGCAAAGGACACAATATTTACCATTGCTTTTGCACTTTTAATGCTTTGTCTCCAACTACATTCTGCACACACTGCTTTTTGGTAGGCAGTATAGGCCAGGAAACTGTTAGCAAGGATGAGAAGACAAGAGATACAGAAGAGGAGGGGAATATTGTAAAGAAAATGGGAAAATTGATACAAGAGTAATTATCCCAGAAAGGAAGTGTGGCTTAATGCTGATAAATTCAAGTCTTTGGTCACTCCTCCTACAGCTCCACTGTTCAAAATTCCCACCCTTAACTACTCAGAAGTCCCAAAAAGTCGAAGAGCTCCTGAATTAGCTATAAAAATGCTGTAAGAGAACATCATAAAGCCTTCTATCCTGACTGAAATATCTAAACCAAGTAACTACCAAATCTACTTCTAAATCTTAAGGTACTTGACGCTGGATCTTTGCAAGTTTTTGCTAGTTAATAGAGATTTTGTTCCTCTGATGGGCAGCTGCAGGCTGCACAGGCTCTAACCACCAAATTACAGAAGAGAGAAATGCAGTCACTCTCACAAATCTTCCCTAAAACATTCAAACGTGTAACTAAACTCCACTGAACACTGCGTAAGAATTGAATATAATTACTGAATATTAGAACTTTTCCAAATAGTCCAAATTAAATTTCTTCACATAGATTTGAAAACTGTTTCAGTTTCTCTCTCACTTCCTATTTGAAGTCCCACAATCTATTTGATATCTAATGACTCCTTTACTCCATTGGCTGAAGTTCAGCTTTCTCCTGAAAAGCTTTAATAATCATGCCATCTGTAACTTTCTCCAACCCATTATTCAACCTTTCTCCATGTAAGTCATCAATTCTATAGCTCATAAGCTAAAATCTGAGTTCTCCTGCCCCAGGATACCCTGCAGCTTCTTTTCTGTTGATTTCTGGTTCTTCTCACACAAAGATCACTTTAAATGCTTTAATGATCTCTTGTGAGGTCCTTGCCTGTTCGTGAGTTCCTTCCTCTCAAGTAGCTGAAAGAAATGGCTCCACGTCTGTGAACACGGGCGCAAAATCATGAATGTTTTCATTTCAACTGCTTACCAAGGTTTACAGATTAGAAAATCTGATTAATAACCTATTTCAGATTCCAGGCTCATATGTAGAAGTTAGTCACTAATCCCAGTAACAGACCTCCACATTCAGCAACCAACTTCCCATTTTCTTTCCCGCCCCCTTCATTAGCCTATTAGAAGATGGTGAGTTTAAGCATGGGAAAAGAAAAAAGCAAAAAGCTACTTTAAGATGACAGCCGTAACCAATATAATTGTACGCATGAGTGACCACAGCTATACAGTCATGAGAAGAGTTACCATTACACCTTACGCTCAAAATGCAAACACCAGAATGGAGCAAAACAAAAGCTTGCTTCTCATTTGACTCAGTGGCAAAGCTGTCTTCCATTTCCACTGCACGACTTTATTTCTAGTTATTCTCTTCATGGACTAAATTATGCTTCATATATTCAATTTGGAAATGAAGATGTGTACAGAGGATGCCAGAATGACTAAGTTCACAGTGATTTAGTACGTACATGTAGAAGCATGTCTGCCTGAACATAACCTCCCTTTTCTGTTCTGTACTTAACACCATTTTGAAGGTCAAACTCTCGCCATATAAATCCAGCTGAGGAAAGCAAGGAATAAGCAAGTTACTTACATTAACTCGGAAAGCTTGTACAGTGTTATCCAGGAGAAGAATGTTGCAGACCACCTCTGTATGCTGCCTGTCTCGTGCCAGCTCAGATGCTCGTACATTGTAGGTTCTGCCAGCAGGCAATCGGAAACGTGCGGTCATTACTGTCCACACTGGGTCTTTAGGCAAAACAAAAATAAAATTAAACAGGATCAAAAAATGCAAATGCACAAATGTCATACTTAAAAGTAAGCAACAACAAGTCCATTGTAAAAAAGAGTCCATCAGAGACAAAAGGAAAATAAGTACTAAATTCATGGTACCCAATAATGAAACCATGTCCTACAAATTACAACACAACTTTATTCCAAAATATTCAGTCCTGTACTTTCGGCCCATTGTACACTCCCTCCCTATTTTGTTTGGTTTGTGAGTTTAGTTTCTTTTTTTCCAAAGATTCAGAGTAGTGTTTTCACTTCAAAAAGCATTTTAACTGCTGGGCATCATGACAACTAGGCTTCCAATATTAGAGGCAATTAAGTAATTAATTTCAGTGCAAAACAGCATAAAAACCACACCTTACACCAAAAAGCTTTACAGAGAAAAACAATGAGGAAGAAAGCAAATACACAAAGAGTTTGACGTATTATTCTTTAAAGCACTCATTGTACAAGCATTAGACATGAGAATCCACAGCAATAACAAAAACATCGTGCTTTTTAAAATTCTACTAGAGATAAAGGTTTCTCAAACTGTTGAATCTTCTAAGTCAATTTGATTGCATTTAGGTATCTAGTTTGGAAGCACAAGCAATTCTTATTGTCCAAATAAGGAATCATGGCCAACACACGTCCACACCCCATGCTAAGTGCTGATAAAGAGAATAAAAGAATTGAAATGTGACTTGCACGTTTCAAAACTAAGATTCTAACAATTATCACGCAAACCCAGTCCAACCAAGTACTTCTGTGCACACCTGATGCTATTAGCCCTATCCAATGATACTAGTTACTTTCTTAAGTACCTCACAGGATCAGGGCCTGTGATTCACTTAATTACACACTCGGCAAACTATTTCTACATCCTTTGACAAGGGCGTAAGCAAACAAAGTTTCATAACTTCAGTAGAGAATGTACTGAGATAGAAAACTAAAATGCCTTAAAAAGCAGGAAAAAAACCAGGTATTCTGAGAACTGTGTAAAATGATTGATTTTCATTATTCTGTGAAAACCTGAAGACTTGAAAAAACATGTATGTGTTTGCTTCCTGTTCTGTGAGGCGGCGGGTGTGTAGTATGGTAAAAAAAAGGCAGAATTTAGCAGAGGACAACAACATCCCAGAAGCAATTAGAGAGCTTGCCTGGATGATAATACATATCTGTGCTCCAGAACACAAATGAACAGGGCTAACAAGAAAAGGATCAATTCCCTCCTGAACAATTCATAACTTATATACTTAAGCCCTTGTGGGAAAGGGGAAGGCCAAGATCCGTCACCCATAACAGGAAAGGCTGTGGTTCTGCAGTTAAACCTTCTTCCCACTGCCTGCAGCCAACCTCCCCAGTGACTGCCCTAAAAATCCCTGGTTTATTTTTGCTTTTCTAGAGCACAACGTCAGCTCTTTCAGCATGACCACGCATCTCAGACATAAAAACATCTTCTTGATGTTAATCCATCCTTGCAAAATATTTCAGTTTTGACTTAACCAGAATTTTCAGATTAAACAGTACTTGTTTCCTTACGAGACAGCTTGCTTTTATTGTTGGCTAGTCATTCCCTCTGGCTTCAGAACTGCAGTGCTGTAGTCATGTAGAACTACAGCAAGTTTATTTTTGTTTTGCTAAACCAACATGACAAACTGAGGAAGGATAAAGATACCAGATAAACCCACCAGCTGCAAACTAAACTCACGACGTTCTCTTAACAATAAAGTAATGAAAAATCGTGTCACAAACATTAAAGCCCCAAAGTAAAGTCTAAACAAGAAAGTACATGTCTGACAGCTCCTCATGAAGAGGCTGCTTCTGCTATGCCTTCTTCAAGTATCAAAAATAACAGGCAGAAGAAAACCTTCAACAGCGAACAGGAACTGAATCTCCACACCAGTGATCTAAGCCAGCAACGTAACAATTCACAAACACTGTTCTGTCACGTAGGCACAATCTAAAAGTTAATCTCCTCACTAGCCATTCAGTATCTTTATCAGCACAGCCCCCCAAGCCGCAACTATAGTCAAGTCTTTAGAGTGGTATCTGCCCGTGAGCTGAATCCAGGAAGGTTTCAGAAAAACAACTTGATTAAAAATTGTTTATCCATATCACAGAAACAATCCCTTGACAAGCATATTATACAAGTGTTTCAATAAGTGACAAAGAAACTAAGACACAGTGAGGGTTATTTTAGAGTCCTCTCCCACGAACACAAACATCAGTGTACAAAGTTGGGCTGTTTAGCTTCCAAATAAGTATTGCTGTCCTCACAGAACTATTCAGTAGTGAGCTAGGAGGATCTTATTTAATCCACAATTCTGTAGCACACACAAAAAAGAAAAAAAGACCTGTTAAAGGCCAGAAAATATCATGCTTTAAGGGAAAAGGCAAATCTCATCTTTTCCTCCTGTTCTCTTCCCTTTTTTGGTCTTATTTGCTGATCAAAACCAATAGTACATCTTCCTTCCTCATCACTATCTTAAACTAGACAGAAGCAACAAATTCCTAAGAGCAAGCAAAGAGAAAATCCACCTTCAGTGATCCTCAGAAGCCTTTAATACCAAGCAACCATTCACTGTGTCCTTCAATAGACCCACAAGGTTCTTGCTGTAACACAGATCATCTTCAGTTCAACCAAACAAACCCCAAAAATAGTATGAGGCAGTGACTCAGGTCTTTCTCAATGTACATAAAGGAAATCATAGATGAAATTATCATAAACAAAATGGTCAAATTCAAGAGGGAAGGCACTGAATACTTTGAGTTCACTAAAGAAATGGGACCAGCTGTATTGGATCAGAAAAATAGTTCATCTAGCTCACAGACCTGAAGGGCGATACCTTCTCACTCTCTCTAAGGAAGGAAGAAATGAGTAGGATACATAAAACTATTCCTCACGTGCTGTTCCACGGACTGGAGCTTAGCACCATCCTGGTGCGCAGCTCACAGTCACACTATGCCGGACACCAACCATTCATGAATGTTTTCTTCATGGACTCAGCACACCATGTTTGAACTTTCAGGTTTAGCAATGAAGCATTATATTCCACGTGCCCCGTAACACCACACAGTAGCCTGAAGAGACACCTTGTAGAAGACAAGTTTCTTCCATGAAACTAAGCGGCTTTTAGAACTACAGAATACAACTAAGTACACTAACTGAAAATCCTGAAATACCTCTACAAAATGGAAATTGAACAGCCATGACAGTAACAGAGAAGGTGACAAAATCAGAGTATTTTCTCTTAGTTACTCTTTCACCACATGTCAGCAAAGAAACAATGGAAGTATGCAGGGATTATGTTAAAGTATCTTCACCATCACACACTCTCTCGAAGACACTCCTCCTTCTAAGACCTGCCAATGCTATTACATGTAACTGCTTTGTGGCCAATCGTGTATACAACACATATTTAAACCCCTATCAGCATATGCACATTCAAAAAAGGATGCAGTTGTAAAGCACAGACAGACTCTGCAGTTCCTGGTCTTACTGACACATTTGTTTTACAATATAATTGGCATCAAACGTATCCATATCATCCTTACTACTCCTGTCTTCCAGAAATATATGCAACAAGAACACAATATTGTTTCTCCTCACAGGTATTCCTGCTATATGTTTTGAAAACATACCAGTTACAATTTATAGCCTCCTAGGCAATAGCCAGCCATCTCACTAGCTGATTTCCTGGCAAATACTGATATGCAAAATGACAAAACTCGTAAAAATTCAGCCACACTGGCTACAAACTTCTATAGTAAAAATATCTTATAGCTAAAGTTAGTATAGAGCAAATAACGGACTGACTTCAAGCTCAAAAAAAAATAAATCTGCAGCCTCAAGAGAAACAGGAGTAAAGACAAAAGGTGAGATTTGACCAAAAAACGTTTGAGAACAACTGGTTTAAACAGCAGGTTAACTTAAGCAAAGTACTGCTGTGTGTGCATATCCATGTAATGGACAGTACCATGGCCACGTATGCTAAAATCTTTCCATACATGCAAGTGGATTACTTAAACTAGATTTAAATCAGGTTTATCTTTGCATGTGAAGGTTTATGCTTATAATTTTTCAGCATCTTCTGTTAAGCATGTAAAATATTTAGACACTTGCGTTAACAATCGAGAGCACACGCTGCTACAGCAACTGGAGAAGGACAGAACTTGTGCAATGAAACTCCACTTAACTCTCAGGTTTGTGGAGGGAGTTAAATTGTACATTTCCTGCCTGAGCTCAGGTTTCAAGGGATGAAGCAATTCTAGGGAGTGTTCCCTATCAAAGGGCAGAACATTCCTGCAATACTGGCTTGGTTAGGGCATTAAAGAGCACACAGAAGCTTCACAGTGAATTTTCTGCATACTCTGTTCTTTTATGTAAACTTATACAGTAAAATGACAATTTGCTTGGGCGTACAACAACCTAACCAATTTCAAGCAGCTTAAGAAATAAGCAGTTAGTTAAGAAGGTAATGAAGTGAAATGTTATTTATCCAAAGGCACAACCGATTCATCGACTTGAAGAGTGCCTTAAAAAGAGTTTGTATCGTGTACTATACACAAAGACAACCACCTTAGCACGGTACAGTACGCACATACACATATAAGGACACAAGAAATTTCATTTTTCGTGGCTAAACTAAAGCAGTTAAGGAGCTATGCATTGCCAGATTTCCATTTTTTGAGTAGCTGGTATTTTAGTAATCCAGAAGGCATGTATTTTTACTGTAGCCCACCTGCTCATTTGGGTCGAATACGGTACATGAATTTGCTACAAGAAGAGGAAAAGTAGGCCAGACTCAGAGAAAACCCACATCCTTATAACATGATGTAGCTTGAATACATTAAACAGACTGCAAACCTATGGTTACTGAAATTGTCCAGACAATTTAATCAGGAGGAGAAAAAACCCTATTAAAAGTACAAAGACAATTTTGAAGGTTTCAACACAGAAATATAACACATTGCATTTCAAACAAACACTGAGTTATATCTAGAACCCATCTTCACATCCGTTTACTGAAAACATGTTAGGGAAACCACATTAAATGTTTTAACCAAAACCAGTTTGAAAATGCTAAACATTAGTCAGTCATCCATGATTCTGAGGGAAGCTCACATTAGTGCAACAAATTAAAGTTCGGATTTTGTTATCTTTCAAAAATAATGTTTGAAAGCTTTCAGCAATTCCGATGTAGCACATGGCTTCAGGATATTCCTTATAAATAAAAGCAGAGTAGAAATGCATTTTCAATTAAGTGACTCAACCTGTGCACTACAATCCTGAACTCATTCCAGCAGTTCAAACTTCATTCATTTCTTCCTGCTTTCTGGTGACCAAACAATGAAAAGTATCTATAATTTTTCAGAGTTGATACATAAACTTCGGGTCATTTCACTTGGTCTTCAACCAGGTGCAAAGCTCCAAGCTAGACTTCTAGCCAGGCAACAGAACCATTGATGACTCTGGGCTCTATCAGAATCTTCTCTTTCCTTTTTATTAGTTATCTGTAATATATAAATTAATCAAATTCATTCTGCTTACTGCAGAGGCGTTGAACTACAGGACCTTTAAAGGTCCATTTTGACCCAACACATTCTATGACTCTGCTTAAGGAAAATAATATACTCCCACAGAGTTATTATATGGCCACTTATTAAACTTTTCCTATAACTTCCACTGCAACAGATGAATGTCGCATTTCTCCTGTTGATGAACTGACACAGTTACAGTGACCGCACTACAAGCACGACTCCTTCCGTGCCACTATATTCCCAAAGAGTTGTCAAAACAGAGCAGGGATACAAGGAGGCACTGGCATTGGAAGTCAGAAAGGTAAAGTTTCTCTTCACTGGTGGGCGATCAGACTGTGCTCTCGTTAGCCCAGGTATGTGCGAGGGGCTGGAAGCCCTGGGACTCCAAGCTCACCCCTCTCTTCAGTCAGGGCTTCCTGCTCCCTTCCTAGGGCCTGGCCCTGAGCAGCCTCACGCTCCCTATACAAAGCTGGTACACAAGATTTATCTCATCTCCAGCTGCTTTTATACATTCCCTCAAGACTCTCATTATCTGCGGGCTGCCTGATTAAATTCCTCACAGATGCAAGAAGTATAGAATAGTAAAAGACATTTTTATCTGCAAGTACTTCACTGTGAAGAGCAATAAATAGCACTGTACTCACATGCCCCTAAAAACGTCCATAATCTCACCTGCATTTCAATGAATAAGCTACTTTTACATCCTTCTTTTCCACATCCTCAATCCTCAAACATAAAGAGCCAAACCTAACACAAAAAAAGCATTAATCCCTAAAGTACATCAGAGAGTTTCCAAAAATTTTGGGCCCAAAGTCCCATAGCTGAGAGAAAAGAAGTTGAATTTAGCCTCTTTCCTCCACCATCAGCTTCTCCTATACATGAGCCGGTACCAGAGAATTAATATTCTATCCACTTATTCAGGTAAGTTTTTAAGACTGTGAATTCATCCCTCCATTAAGCAATAAACTATAACTGATCTTCAAGAGTCACTTGGATCATAGCACGTCTGCTTTACAGAACGGTTTAGGAAATGCACACCATGGCATGAAGAAACGGAGAGCAGGCAGCTGAAACTAGAACCATCTTTAGGTCGAAATACTGATATAGTTTAAGACCTGTAATAATAAAACAGAAGGTGACGGCAACCACCAGCTGGAGTAGTTGCCAGCTTGTGAGGAAGAGCCCCTGGGCGCAGGGCTGTGGTCACTGCATCGCTGTGTGATCACTTCAGCCAGTGCCACGGGCAGCAGAGACACGTGCACGGAGTTAGCAGGAGCCCATACTCCCGAAATAGGTAATCTAGGATGGAAAACGACAGATTAAACCTGGTAGAAGGGAAGGTTGCTGAAGTAGTCCTAAAAAGATTTAAAAAAAAGAACCAGCAAGAGTACTATATAAATATCATGAAATAGTCATAGAATTAGAACTGTTTAGGCTGAAAAAGACCTGTAAGATCATCAAGTCCAACCGTTGAAAATGGTGAATTCAATTATCCTATATTTTTAAAATATTCAAAATATGCAAATACACTGATAAAAAAGCCACCTTGTTTCCTAGGACAGAGCTTATGATATTTGGAGGCTTTTATCATGTGTAAAAGTTGCTAGAAATAAATAGAAAATTTTTCCAGGTGAGTTCCACCTCCAATATTTGAAACTCGATTATATCCATAACCTGTTCTTTGAAAATGGCCTTAAAAATGCCAATCCAGATGATTACTACATCTAACTCTTCCCATTCCTAGAGCTAGATCTTTTATTCTTGGTTATATGACTCAATGCTATAATAAGATGTAATAAATGAAGACTATAATGAAACACTACTAAAATATCTTGATAGAAACTTCTCAAAATAAATTTGCATATTTTTTTAATGTGTTCTTAAACTAGGTTAAATGGATCAAAATAGATTTTTCATTAAAAGGATATTCTGGCTCCTACACAACTCTAAGATTAGGAAGCCTAAATATTTACTCACCAAAAGAAAAGAGTGCAAGTTCAGATAAACTAAAACCAGAAGCATGAGGTGATAATAATAAGTTAGTATTTCATATCTTGCTTAAGAAAGAGAAAGCAATCCAAGTGCAAAAATTCCCAAACTTCCTACCATTTTCCTCAAAGTGTCAAAAAGTAACTGTATTTGATTGCCCTTTGCTATGCTACTTAGAAAAAAGATTGCTTTACCTATTAGAAAAGGAGTTTACAGTCCTCTACAGGCCTAGTAGAAACCAAAAGCTTTTTAGTATCTAAAGAGAGTCTGGTAATCTTCAGGTCTTTAATGAAACGTACAATTGCCCATAGCTAGAATAACCTAGCCCAGTCCTTTCAGGACACCAATTATCAGCAGCTCTAAACTGGAACAACAGCCCGACTGCACGCACTGAATCAAGGAAACGTGGCAAGGGAGAATTAGGTTTGGATTTCAGGTTTCCTACCTACAAACAGGAGAGCGTTTAACACAATTTCAGAAGTCCAAAAGAGAAAGAAGTTACATGTAAATACCAATTGCTGGTTGTATACAACTAAGCACATAAAATGGAGTAAAACATTAAATGCTGGAAAGTTACTTGTTGTAACTTGGTGGGACTATAAATGAAAGGAAGTCCCACATCCTGTAGCTGTGAAAGCCTCAACCACAATTATCCAAAGATGACATCAACAGAACACACCGACGGAGAAAGCCTGCAGGATAGCTATCAGCCACAGACCAATACCGCGATCACGCAGCAGAGCCTTCAAGTCCCGAGCAGCAAGGGGATTTGGGAGCTTTAGTTCCAGCCACGGGAGCTCTGTTGTGAAGCCTTTGAAGCTGAAGGCAGCCTGAATTGAAAATAAACTGGCAAAATTCAGAGAAGCCTATCTTCTACTCATCGCCAACTTCAAGTTGAATTTTGGCTGGCACTTGAACTGAAGTATTAGACAGAGGGAGGAAAGTTGTCTGTGTATATTCTGTTCAGAGTTGCTAAACCTAAGCCAAATTATCTTCAATAGACTTAAACACAGCAGATGCTAATTCTAAGGCTGAATATAACCAACTGGACACCTTCCACCAAAATTATTTTTTAATCAGAAATGTCATTTCCACAAAATAGAAATTTTCACATGGAAAATTCCAGTTTTGCCAAAACCCACAAATTTTTCCTCTGGAAATATTAAAATAATGCCCGTCTGGCTACCTGCCTGGAAAATGCTTGTCAACTCCGCTTCCTCCTCCAGCAGAAAACAAACCAAGGGAACTCTTCTGGCAGTGCTGCCCAAAGAAGTGACCTCACTCCATCCTTGCCCCTGGCTCTCAGCCACCCTGCCTCATGCTCTTTTCCTGAGCGCCCACATACTCAGCCCCTCCATAGCTTTTTGGCCCTCAGGTAGGAGAGCAGTGCAGGTCACCTCTTTGGTCGCTCTTGGGTTGTGAGCTCTGTTACACCCGAAGAACACCTGGGCACTACAACAAGAAGCTCGCTCTCCGCACAGGGCGGGAGCAGCTTGGCTGAGAGAACTGCCCAGTAGCAAAAGAATCAACTTATTCATATTGTTCCAAACTTTAAGTTCTCCTTTTATTTCTTTATTTCTTAGTAAGAGCTCTCATACTTTTACAAATTCGGTGCAGCTTAGGTAAGTATTTTTTATCACTCACTTCTGCCTCCTCTCAAGCATTTTCTTTTTAAGAAACAACTTCCATTTTCAAGACACCTCAAGTTCAAAGTTATTTTCATTGCTATATTCACTAGAATATCACATTAAAATGATTAAGCAGTTAAATCTCATAATCAGTCACCTCCAGTGAAACTTGAAAAAATAAATGAGTTTTGTGGGTCTAATTTCTTCAGTATCTTAAAGAGGTCTAAGCTCCTCAGATTTGTAAACCGTACCAACCTACTCTGTGAAAGGATCATTTTCAAATACCATGACCAGCAAACAACAGAACAATTTCATCTGTGCTTCTTACAAAGAGAACCTCAAAGCCAAACCAAACGTCTTCCAAAATCGTGGCATACTGACCTCAATAGTTGCACCCTGTCAGGGGTTATAATATCATTAAACATTTAAGGCCAGACTGCAGGCTCTACGCGCTTACCTTCTTACATTCTGAGTTTTGCCAATTACAGTCAATTTTGTACATAAACAAACAAGTAAAACTACCTTCATGCATATTTCTAAAATTTATTTTAAAAATGCTTTTTCTTTTGGAATGTATTTCCTTCTTTTGAAACTAAATTGATAAAATTAGAGAAGCATCTGTGAAAAAAAAAA